TTCCACAGAAAATTGTTCAGCTAGCATAAGTTTTGGATGAGAGATTTTTTGGCATTCTTTTTCCCCTACTAACTTCATTTGTATTCAAATTGCTCACTGTTGCTATGATTTCTTTTGCTGAGACTGTTTTCTCATCGAAAGATAAATCCATCAAGATGAGTTTTCTCAAGTACTTACTTAGACTGAAACAGAACTTTGAAAGAAAATTGAGCTCCAGATGAATCTTTTAGATCATTCAATTTCTTCGTTGTCTTGTTCCTTTCTTGTTTTTCTCCAAGTTATTAGAGCAGGTGGAATCTGTTGTATACTGTTCTTACAAAACCGTCTCTTCCCCATTTGAGAGGAAAAAAGGGCATATTATAAATTTAGACGTCTTCAAAGTCACAAGTACAAATTACAGTGGCCATCTACCTAAAAAGTAAAATGTATAATGATGTTCTTTAACTCAAATGTCATAGGTTGTTCCATAACATTATGCTTGTTCACATGAGGCACTCACGGCTATAAGGTAAAAATTTTGTTGCCTTATAAAGGTATGAAAGTAGTGGTGTAGCTTTATTTGAATGAAATGAAATTAGGCTTAGGTGAGCTGCTGAGTAATTAGAATTTGGGACATGTTCTGGCAATGGTACATAAGTGAGTGATACATTCTGTTCTTATTGATTGGAAAATCAATTCGGTTTACTGGTTCGAAAGGATTCCATCCTTCATTGAATTCATTAAGCTTCATTGCTTGCACAGTTGAGTTGTACCAAAATCAAGTGGGCCTCCAAACCCTGTTTGGTCTGTTTTTTAATCTTAAGATTGGAAGGCTACATTGTTAGGATCCCAAATACAAGAACCTAACTAGAACACTATATTGCAATTCAAAAGAGTAATTACAATACCGATAGCCTTTCGAGAGGGCTATCTCTCTCCCAAAGAACTCTCTCAAGTTCCCTACACAAAACTATTCTTCAAGATATCCTTCTCCTCTCCCTACTACCCTTATTTATAACAACTCACCCTAACTAATTACCATACTATCCCTTCATACTAACAAACTAATATTCTSTATACCGGTAATAGGAATCTCACATACATATATCGGATTTGGTGGATGCTTTTTTTTGGCGGAATAGTCCATGGAGGAGGGTATAATTTGAGCAGTTTTCTAACCTTATTTATTGCTAAACTTCATGTGGGGTTTTGGCTGCCTTTAGTTAGTACTCTATTCCCATGTGGGGTTTTAAAGAGAAATCCCACATGGCTTGGGAACATCAGCAAGATAGCCTTTTTATTTACCTTATTGGAAGCCCGTACTTCCTTCGGGGACATGATAAAATTGGAACAAAGAAGATTAGCATGCCCCTGCACAAGGATGACACGCACAAATCGAGAAGTGGTTCAAATTTTTTTGCTCT